GCACTCAGCCGTTTCACACATTCTCGCCCTCGGCGTGTCACAGCAGCCTTGGCGATGGTTCGTTTGCGGTCAAGAGCCTTGAACCTGGTCCACGGAACCTTGGCATGTGCAGCTCTGCAATGTTCAAACTTATCAGCAGTAACAGCATCAGCGCTTTTGGCAAAGGCATCCTGCGCTGGGATGCCAAACTCACAGAGCGGGCATTTCCAATGCACCACAGTGCCACTGCCTGCCTTAATGATAGACGGCTGCCGAGCACCATGCTGGACCCCAGAGGGAGTCCTGCCGGGATGGTGGGTCCTGTAATGCTCATAGAGTTTGGATTTCCGGTTGATGACATGCTTTGCAGTAGCTCTAAAAGGGCAGAGAGGGCACACAACAGCAGTTTTCTTTGCTAAGTTCAACCCAGCACGTCCCCAGTACCGGATCTGTCGCTCAGTTGGCACACTGGTGTTGCTCTCGGGCTCCTGCAGCTCAGCACTGTTGCAATCAACGTCAACATGTCGTGTTGCGGTCCGTTTGCACGATCCTCTGGCGGTGGCAGCACACGAGGCAGCACCTTTAGAGCTCAAAGCAATTGAAGCTGCCCGTTGTCGCAACCGGGTAGCACAGGAGGAAACCTCAGACCCCCGAGCAACCGATCCTTGGGCAGCTATGCTTTTGGTCGCAGCAACTTTCGCGCGGCCAGAAGAGCCCGACACAACCGAGGCAGCGCGTTTTCGAAGCGGAGTGGCACAGGAGGAGACCTCAGAGGAAGCAGCCCGAGAGCCACCCCCGGCACGAAGTGCCCCAACCGGGCCTTGTGTCACCTTGGTGTATGTCTCGGGATATTGGGTGCCATTATCCTTCGGGAGGGCAAGGTCAATGTGCCCTGGGGTGAACCACAAGACAGCAACCTTCTTTTCACGAGCATTGTACGCAGCAGGCTGAAAGTCAAGGCCCTGCGGGATGACAACAGTCTTAAGATGACAAATATGAGAAAGAGCAGCAATTTCAAGCTCACCGAGGTAGGTGCTGTCCTTCTCAATCATACTGCAGTAGGCCTTGAAGTCAGAGCAGGGTTGCCCCTTCGGGTCGAGGCGATCCCATTCGCGACTGTACCTCTCATGCTTGAGGAGGTGGGTTACCAACTCAGCCCTCAAAATGCGAGGGTGTCGGTCCTCATCACGGAAGTGCTTGAGGGCTTTGGAGAATGCATGCAGAACACAGTTGCCATCGCGAGGGCAATCAACAAGCTTGAGGTCAGAAGGAAACTGACGCACCTCCTGCTTTGCCTGCTTGGACTGTGACTGGTCCTTACCATCCTCGTCCTGAGTTTTGGCAGTGGGGACTGCAACAGTCTCCGTGGGGATCTCCGGCGTGTCAGCTGCCTTGACAACAGGCACCGAGTGCGTATAGACGGGTTTGACGAATGTCGGTTGCTTGCGGGGTGGGGCTAGTGACGCCCAGAGCGTGACATTTGCACCTAAGTGTTCACAGATGAGAGGCACGACATCGCGATCGCCCCCTGCTTTCACTTTAGCCTTAAATCGGTAGGTGATAGCTTTCTTGGCCCAGCGGTGGGACAAAATCACGGGATCAACAAAGGCAGTGCCAAGCAAATCTGCAACAGCACAGTGGTCCCACTCCCGGGGAACATCAGTCACATTCCACACCCTGACAGGAACCTCATCTTTGTCAAGAGGCCGCCTCCAGCCCAGACGCATGTTGGACAGGGCAAGGCCGTGCGCAGAAGACACGCGGGTGACCCTTTCAAGGTAATCCTTTGGCTTCTCCTTTGGGGCACGGTCAACCCAAGCAACCTCGCAAGCAGCGGCATCAGGAAGGCCCCGCGGGGCCGACACAAAAACCCCCTGCTGCCCAGACGAAGAAAGTAGAGGCCCGATGTCCTTCTTGGCAACTCGCAGAAGCCCGAAAAACTGCTCCGAATCCCCTGCCTTGCCTTTCTCACGGGACCATGAAAAGGAGTCAAGAGCCTGCACATGCCGGCAAGCCGCCCATTGCAGAGCTTCCTTAGCAGCAGCCCGCTCGAAAGAAGCCCAAAGTTTAGGGTCGCAGTAAAGCTTGGAGAGGCGAACATAAAGCACAGCACTTTCGGTAATCTTGACCTTGAGGGGCTTGGCATCAGAACCTGACGAGCCCTGAAACTGCGGCATTTCGCCGGAAGAATTGCTGGAACAAAAGGTGGCAACAGCGAGGTTCCTGAAAGTGAGCCGGTCTCCAACCTGCCCCGGGACGCGCTGGGAGCCTTCCTCACTCGACGGGCGGAGTAGCAGCATCTTGTGAGGCTTGGGACACCCCCTAAGAACACTTGAGATAGATGCAAACTCATCATCGGACTGAACAAGCACTATCCCCCGGAGGGTGTCACCATCGGCCAGACCATCAAGCTTCGCACCGAGCTCGCTGGGCTTAAAGATCGGCGAGTTCCAGTCCTGGGAACGGAGCGCAAAATCTCCTAGAGACCGCTGTTTGCGAACGACTGGAGTCCATCCGTCACCTGGGCTAGGCTCTGTAGAAGGCCATTGGGGGCCTCCATTCGGTTGAGGGCTAGGGTTACCTTTGCCACCACCCTTGCCTGAGCCTTTGCCTTTGCCTTTGCCTTTGTCTTTTCCCGCGCCCTTGGGGGCAGGAGCGGAGGGTGCAGGGTTCCGTGGCTCATCGTTGGGGGTGGCTCCAGAGCCGCCCAAAGCCCGCGAAAGTTTGTTGCGATGTTTCTTCTTGCGCTTTCGGGGCTTCTGGTTGAGGGCCGCAAGAAGGCCAGCACCACTTTGGCCAGAAGCAACCTCCTGAAGAAGCTGCTTCAAAAGATCACGCAAGATGCTCTTTATATCTAAGCCCCCAAGAAGCTGCTGCAGGAGCTTGGGGCCAGGCCCGGGGTTTGAGGCTTCACCAATCCTGGTGCCTTTGGTGGCATCATGGCCTAGGCCTTGCATCCTGGAAAGCGGAGCTTGCGAGCAAGGGCAAAGCCAGCACGCAGCAGTAGCGAGGACATGGCAAACACAATCAAAAGCCGCAGCACAGCTGAACCGACATGAACAGCTGCACTCAACACACCTGGGACCTGGATCAAACGAGGATGTTCTAGGGTCTTGCGACCAAGCTTGACCTACAAAGCCTGACCAGGAACCCTTGTGCAGCCGAGCGGAAGCATCATGACATACAGCTCTAGAGGCTGGCTCGGTGCTCCTGAGACCTTGGTTGGCGGAGGATTTCCCTGGGTCTTTCGACCAAACAAGACCTGCAAAACCATGCAAGACCTCAGTGCGCAGCCTAGCAAAGACATCACGGAAGGCATCACTCACATCAGAAACGGCGCTCCTAGGGCCTAGGTTAGCCGAGGATTTGCTAGGGTCTTCCGACCACGCTTGACCTACAAAGCCGACCAAACACCCAGTGTGCAGCCTGGCAGGAACATCGCGAAAAGCATCACTCACATCAGATTTGGCGCTCCTGTGACCTATGTCAGCCGAGGATTTGCTGGGGTCTTCCGACCGAGCTTGACCTGCAAAGCCAACCGAACGACCAGTGTGCAGCCCGGCAGGGGTGACTCGAAAAGCAGCATTGATATCGGACTCGGCGCTCCTGTGACCTGAGTCGGCCGAGGATTTGCTTGGGTCTTCCGACCTAGCCTGACCTGCAAGACCGACCAAACACCCAGTGTGCAGCCTGGCAGGGTTAGCATGAACAATATCACTCACATCGGACTCAGCGCATCTGTGACCTAAGTCGGCCGAGGATTTCCCTGGGTCTTTCGACCAAGCTAGACCTGCAAAGCCATTAGGAACACCAGCGTGCAGCCTAACATGGTCTTCATGAGAAACAGCACTGGCAGGGGCTTCGGCACTAAAAGCGCAAGCCTCAGCAAGAAGCCCGGGGCAGCATGCACAAGGGTCTCCGTTCCAGTAAGAATCAGCTTCAAGAGCGCAGACCTGCAACCCACCTAGGGGGGAAGAGGCACTAAACCCTAGGGCCGGGTCAGGGAAGGCATCGGTGTCAAAGTCATCGTTGCTCTCTGCAAGCAGTTCGCCCAGAAAGCCCGGACATCCCCGAGCCGAGTACTCAGCCAAAGCGGTGGAGCGGGGGCCCAGCGCAAAAGACCCACCTAGGGGGGAAGAGGCACTAAACCCTAGGGTGGGGTCGGGCAAGGCACCATCGAGCAGTTCGCTCAAAAGGCCAGGACAGCCAGAGCCCTGGCCCCTGTCATCGAAACTTGCTGGGCCTGCAATGTCATGCACAACCTCAGTATGCAGCCTGGCAGGGGCATCGTGAAGGACAGTACTGAAGTCGGACTGCGCTCGATCATCACTGTTATCAGCAAGCATCTCGCCGAAAAGCCCCCGGCAGTCCTGGGCATTGCACCTTGCATCAACACCAGAGCCCAAGCACTTCGCAGTCAACCCACCTAGGGGGAAAGAGGCACTAAACCCTAGGGCCGGGGTAGGGGAGTCACAGAAGGGACCATCATCACCACACTCAGCAAGCTGTTCACCAAAAAGGCCCGGACAGCTCAAAACAGAAGAGGGAGGCTTAAGCCCAGGGGGCTCAAGATCGCACCTGCACCACACAATTGACTCACGAGGTTCCTGCCTGCAGCCCTTGAGGCCGATAGCTGGCTCCGAGTCAAATGCACAAGACTCCGCAAACAGACCCTGGCACCTAGCAAGACATGAATGCACAGCACTGTCCTTGGAACTGGTCGGGGTCTCGGGATCATCCTCGCACCGGTGGCCATCGAAAGCGAAGTCCTCAGCACACAGCCCCAAGCAAACCAGCATCGACGCAAAGCCATGGCTAGCACGCTGCGAGGCAGGCGGATGAATGGGAGCCCGCTGGGGGCTAACGGTC